ATGTCATTTAGTTGTATGGGTGTATGTGACTATTGATGGATTTAGTCACGCTAAATGTGACCAAAATCGCTTTGATCCTATATTAATATAACTAATGAACGAGATTATTTGGAAATACCCTTAATAGTGATAGCAGAATTTTGAGCTCATAACGCTGAATACATTTGTAAATGACATAGATCCATTTTTTGATCTCATTTCTTTTAGGATTATGCCATATGTACATAGGGTTTGACAGGAAAGGAGAGTTTACACCGAAATCTTCTCAGGAGTGTCCAATCCGCCATACAAATAGTATTTTCTTTTTTTGTTATTGCACAATCACGCGTCAACTTTAGCGTATTTTAAAAGTTTGATTGAATAAAATGGAGCCACCTTCAAGAAACTACCTACTGCTTCACCTTTTCTTTTGGCTACAAAAATCACCACTTTCTGAGATTCTCGTTCAGTCTTGAAAAAAAATCTTTTCTGCTAGCATTCTTAAAATATTTATTTTTCCAGATTTTTTTTTTAATTCTTTTTTTTCATTTCATGGGTCCTCAATTACGTATGGGAACTGGGGAAAATAGAGAAGGCATTGCATTGAGCGGGAAAATCATGCTGTTTGCGCTGTCTGTACTGTTAACTGTGGTGCTTTTTATGGTGGGTTTTCATCTTTATGCAAGATGCTACAACCTCCGTTTGCGCCGCCGCCTACGCCGTTATCGTCCTCACATAGTGTCTCACACTGACGCAGCCGCCTCTATTAACCAAGGCCTTGAGCCGGCGGTTTTGAATTCACTTCCGGTGTTCGTTTACTCCTCCAAGACTCGCCCAGAGAAGCTCGAGTGCGCAGTGTGCTTATCGGAATTCGAGGAAACAGAATCGGCCCGTCTTTTACCGAAATGTAATCACTCTTTTCACACAGACTGTATTGATATGTGGTTTCATTCTCATTCTACGTGTCCTCTTTGTCGGTCTACGGTCGAACCGGTTCGTCAACTGGAGAAGACTCAGGTAGAGGTTGTGCTCAACGCTGAAGGACCGGTCGTGAATGGATGTGAACCGTGTTCTAGCTCGAGTTCTGACAATATAACTTCGTTGGGCATACGAAGAAAAGGGTTGGATATGGTGGGGTTGGGGGTGACTATAGAGGTGCCGAGGATAACTGAGTTCGAACTGAGACCATCTTCGAGTAACAGTTTGAGATCGCCTGTGACTCGGTTGTTATCATTCAATAGGATTCTAAGCATGAACGAAAAATCTCTCAATGGGACAAGTAGCACGACACCGTGTGGGATCGAGACGAGCCATGGTCCAAGAGTTGAACTTGGAGCATGAACACAATGAGCTCATTCAGAATCAGAGTCGAGTACGTACACTAAGATTAAACCGTATTGAAATTTTAAAATTGGAATAAACCATTTGAGAGCCCCGTTAGTTTGTATACATATCAGATAATAATTTGTTATAAAACATTTGCTTCATTTGCTTTTATTGTGAAGAATTCTTGAAATTTAGAGCACAAATACCAACAACTTAAAACCTTACTCTGGTTGCGGACTACTTTTGAAAAAATGAAAAACTTTAAGATTTTGTTAAAATAACTCATCCAAGACTATGGGTGATAAAATACTAGAAATACAATTGGTTCAGTGTAAGTCTAATGAGAAAAATAATGGCCTGGAAAAAATAAATAAATAAATAAATAACCACAAACAATTTGTCTGATAAGAAGATTGAATGTGATTAGTGGTAAAAATGGACCAAGCCATTTGTCAGCATGTGGATTTAACTGGTCTCGTCTTGATTTGTGAGTGACTCAAGCTAGTTTTGAGACAAGCTATGAGCCAAGTAGAGCTCAAAATTTTCACGAGTAGACTTTGGCCCATGAGGCCCACGGTCAAAGTGTCGAATGAAGCCTAGTTTGTGGATACGAGCTGAACTCAGGATTGGCTCGTATCCATTCAAGCTTGGCTCATCCATAGAGACGAATCAAGCTCGAATATTAAAGTGTCAAATCTATTTGATCAGCCCATCGCCATCCCTAAATATGACTTGAACCCCATATTAAAATTTAGGCATGTAACGATACTCAATCGAGCCAAATTTGACTCTAGATATAAATTGTTTGCAACTTTTACTTATAAATATGAATTAAATTCTAGAGTGGCTTGTTACTTCTATTTCGCCTTAGTTGAAGTTTGCACTACATAATTGCACAAGGCTTTCAAATTACCTAAATCGAAAAGCCTGGTTAATATAAAACAAAAAGTACCAACTGTAATCACTAATATGTCTATTCAATCCCATTTTGCAGCTCCCTTTTCTCCTGGGGCAGCCACTGAGGAGTGGGTCGCCAGACGTGCTGGGAGTTCAAGTCGAGTCTTCTACGTACTTACAATTGAGAGGCACATACCAGGCTGATCGAGGTAAATTAGGAAGAAGCACCGGACTGACAGGGTGGTGGAATTTGTATTCCACTGTAACCTACTTGTGCATTAGCACAAGCAGCAGTAAGTTTCAGATTGCCTTGGAATTTTAAGTTGACATTGTTAAGATGGATGTTTTGACATGGAGCCTGTGAGCTGCACATCAGATTGACAGCAACTGGGGATGATGTGGTTCCTTGTACATTTTGGTATATAACATCGGTAATTTTCACAAGAGATGGCTGTACGAAGAAATCCGAAAAAAAGAATAAATCAAATCAGAATCAACGTTCATATTGTTTTTAATTATGTCATTGATAAATAAAATCGAACCTTGCTTGATTTTGTGCCATAACTCTGGTCGATGATTATAGGGTTCTCAACGTTGCCCATAATTATATCCTGGAAAAGCATCCCCGAAGCCCTGCTTGGATCTGATGCTGGATATGTTTTGATTCTGAGACCATTTGTTGTACCTTGCAATGTGCAGTTTTTTACGATGACCCCTTGTACGTCCAATTCCTTTGGCAGCTTGCCAAGACTACCCACACTGTCATTGTCAGCGCCAAAAAAACAAAATGTTACGGTTTTTTGACACATAATAAGGAAGAAAAAGATAAGAAATTGTCGAGGTTATGTACCTAATGCCATGTCCAGGGCCACAGGTTATCTGGTTGATGGTAACATTTATTGCTCCTTGACCAATGGAGATACAATCGTCTCCAGTTTTAATGATGGATCGGGAGATTTTCACATTAGTCGACCTACTTATATGCATTCCATCAGTGTTTGGACTATCAGCCGGAGAAGTTATGCTGAGTCTATATGCCCTAAACAGATTGCTATTAGTAATGTGCATGTGGAATCCCATGGCGTTTATTATATTGATAGACTTCACTTTGGCGTTTGTCACTTTGGTGAAATACAGAGACTGCACAAAACACAAACGTTACAATTAATTCAATTTTCATATCAAGAAACATCATATTCTTTACACAACACTAGACAATATAAAAGATAAGATTTCAGTGTTGTCCGAAGTTTGTAAATTAAGAAATACTTACTGCGGGTAGGTGCACGCAGTCAGGATTATTTTTGCAATCATTATATTGCCATAAGAACCGGCCTTGCCCATCAAAAGTGCCTCCTCCGGTCAGCGTTAAGCCATTAACATCACTGAATGAGATCCATCCCTTACCCGTGTAAGCCGAGAGATCAGTAACTGCTTGAAGAGTTCCTTGGACTTGAACAATTATGGGCGATTGGCTTTTGCATGGCCCTCCAAATGTGGTTTCACTTAGTCTGTAAACCCCGGGTGGGACTAGTAGCCTGACTCTCCCATTAAAATTACAGGCTGCATTCCACGCCTTAATAAAAGCCTGCACAGGGACAAATAAGTAGAAACCAAATAAATGGCTAACCTATTTGGAGAAATTGAAATTGTAGCAGAAGCAAAAACAGAGAATTTGAGCGGAAAAAAAAATATAAAATTCTAATAAAATTGCGAAATTAACCTGTGTACTTTCTTGTATTTGGCCAGGTTTGGCACCAAAACTCAAAACGTTAAAAATCATTTCACCACCATGGCTTAGACGGCTACCACCACCTGCGGCATTGCAAGAGAATAGAGCCGAATACAAAATGAGGACTATGATTGTTCTAGCTCCACTCTCCATGGCTATTGAGGGCCGAATTTTCTTTCTTTTTATATATTATTATCTGCTCCTACCCAAGATTTTGTCATTGAAGGGTAAGAGCTATCTTTGGATGTTCTTTTCTTTCTCCCTTTTTACTGGCAATAAAAACATTGCCCGCAATAATCCTATAAATGGGGTCGTTTAAAACTCTTCTAACTCTTTGGACAACGTATATTAAGGATGCCTAAATTTAGGAGTTTTTGATGTCCCTCCATGTTAGAAATATTGGTTGTCTCTCATATAACTTAGAAAATGTAATTTGTTGGCTATTTTACAGGAGTTTTTCGAGGGGACTTGATGGACTTGAATCACCACATTTAACTTGTTTCAAGAGTACTTCCTTTAATATTTCCCTTACAATATTTTTTGGTGAATGGCAAGAATGCATACTGTCTGTTATATTAAGGGGCCATTTGAGCCCCATTATTTGTAGATTATAATGAGATGAATAGTATTTTTTTGAAAAATGAGTAGTTGAAAAGTTTTTGATTTACATATTATTTTATTGAAAATTGTGTGGTTAAAAATAAGAGAAAGAAAAATTTAATTTAATGTAATGAGAAATAATGGGGCTCAAACGGGNATTTTATTGAAAATTGTGTGGTTAAAAATAAGAGAAAGAAAAATTTAATTTAATGTAATGAGAAATAATGGGGCTCAAACGGGAGCTAAATATGAAGTCAATGGCTATTAAAACAGTGAGTGAAGACCAATCCTCAAATGCAAAGTCTCAAAGGTACAACAAGAAGTAGGCATTAGTACTAATCCCGTTGGCCCTCATTTTTTCTAAATTTTAATGATTGAAATAGTATTTTTTTGAAAATTGTGTGGTTGAAAAAGAATGGAAAGTTTTTTATTGGCGTATAATATTATTTTATGGAAAATTATGTACTTAAAAATAAGAGAGAGAAAAAGAATGAGAGAGAATGGGGGCCAAACGGGGGGCTAAACAATGAGGTGTCACAACGACAACAAATTATATGAAATTAAAGATGATAAACAAGAGAAGGAGCAACATTATAGTTTGTTACATTAGATCGAAAACAAAAGCACCACATATAGTTTAATTTTAATAGCTCATTGAGTAGTACAGTTCAAGAGAATAAATTGTTGACCCCAAAAAAATGTTGCCAACCGATGTCTAACCCACCTGCGCGCACGTGAGCGAAAGTCAATACACTAAGACACGTGAACGGTTTAAAATGGACAAATCAAGGGCGTGAGAGTAGCTCAACGGCGCGGGACGAGAACGTTCGAAATCTAGCGGGATGTTCGTAGACTGATTATGCAATAATTACCAATCGATATTTGTAAATGTGTATCTAAATATGTATGAACTCGTTTGTGTTGCAAGATAATAAGAAAGAAAGAGTTGAGTAAAGTATGGTTTCTTGTATTGATTCTTGCATTAGCCTTTGTATGGGGTACATGGGGAAGTATTTATAGTGTCACAAGTTAGATCGTGACCTTTGGTTCGGGGTACACGTGGTCTCATCCGGTTAATTTACATGTCAAATTGTAGGCATCAGACGCACCTAGCATGCTATACATTTATTGATCGACAGAGCCGCCTCTACTAGTGACAAGACTTAACATTTATACTCATAACAAACGTCCTATCAATCATTCAAGTAAGATCTTTGTGCAGAGGATCTCTTGGAGAAATGTCTATAGAAGATGTTGCTTTGTGATTCGGAGGCTGCTACCTCGGCTACAGAGCTTCGGCCAGCAGGGCCTCGTCCACCTTCAAAGGGACTCAACATATGGGCCTAGGCTTCTGTGGACCTCGATTTGTGGGTCTCGGCTATGCAAATCACCTCGACTTGAGTGTCACGTGGTTCGGTATGAGTTGGCTGTGGGCCCCGGTGAATTGCCCAAGTGTGTAAACACGTAACATAAATAATAATAATTATTTATTCATATGCAGTGCTTTCTTAAAACCTTCTATAATTACTATCCCTCCATATTCTTTGTCAGGCTCATTGTAGAGCCATCTCAATCTTAAGGGACTGCTTGGAAGTTTCGGCATACTAGTCATGAGCATTTTTAAAGTATCGGTCTTTTGAGCATTTATGAGTGGATCGATTTTGAATGATTTTATTAGCGATTTTTAAATCTGTTCAATTTATACTTGATAATTTATTATCTACGGGTTCTCAAAAGTTTTTAAAAGAATAACATTATATGTATGTCATTTAATAAATTTTTTAGTTTATATATAGTTTCTTATATGATTTTTTTTTTAACTCATAAATGATATTTTACATAGAGGTAATTTTTACATATAAATTAACATTTAACCTATAAAATTAGATAAAGTTAAATATTTACTTAAAATTTTAAGTTAAATTTTTTACCTATAAGTAAAATTTATACTTTTAAATAATTTTAAGTGAATTTTTTGCTTATAAGTAACTTTTTATATTTTATAAGTGAATTTTTATCTCATTAGTACTATTTTTATTTTATAAACAAAATTTTTACAAAAAAGTGATTTTTCACTTTCAAGTAATTTTTTAATTATAATATAGTTACTTATCTTTTGGCCATATCCTTAATAGCAGGTTGGTTACACCTAATACCGAAATGGAAACCGAGCATTACGACGTCTAAAAATACCGAATCTTGTTTGAATCATCATTTGTCAAGACTCTTCGGGGATCGAAAAGAAATTCCTTCCATTATCGAAGAAGATAACAAGATAGAATTGTGTGTATGGCATGCTAATGGAAGCAGTTATCAGTTTCATAAACAATACAGGAAAAACTTAAAGTTCTTCCATGGCATGGATAAGATGAAGTTGAGGGTCCCGAGGTTAGCATTCAAAACTATCTAAAGAGCACTAATACCTTAATTGAATCGATCAAGATCAAACGTATTTATCAAAGTGCTTCTTTGATTGCTAAAGACAGGTGATGGTACACTCCATTTATCCCATTTTAAATATTGCTTCTTGCCCTTTCCTAAGGGACTAGGAAGAACGAAATTCATTGGGTGGTAAGCCACGCAGATAGGCACACAATCAGTTAGGGGCCTAAGTCCAAGCATAAAGCTATATCGCAAGCTAGATTTGCTCAAGACTTGGTCACAAATTGCTCTGTTTGCATGTAATGACTGATACAATTGAAATAAGATCCCAAATCAACGCTTTCTTTGTCATTGGTTCTCTTCAAAAACTTCCATCTAGTTTAGTTCTATTCATCTTTCTGGGTTACTGCGTTCTCATAAGCTTCGAGTTTGTCTGTTAGTGGTGATTGGTCATTAAGGTTCCTTTTGGCTTGCTGTTCTTGCTATCTCGCTATGCTTTCTTGTCTCTTATGAAGTTTCTTTTGTGAGTGTGTTTGGATTTGCAAAGGCAATTCGGCTTCAAGATCTTGTGAATAGTCTCTCGTGAAACACACCTTCACATAACTTTCTATCAAATTGTGTACCTTCATGCCCCAAACATTTCTATATCGCTGCATCCGATATTTTTGTTCCAGTTGTGTGATAGAGAATGGATCTGAGAAAGAGGCTTTTGTTTTTTTAAGAACAAAAATAGGAAATTAGTAATATCTTATTTATAAGTATTTTTATTTTTATTTTAATGTAATTTATTACTTATAAATAATGTTTAGTTAATATATTTTTATTTACAAGTTAGTTTTGAAGAAAATATATTTATTGAAAATAATTATTTTATAGATAGTAAAATTAGAGCAAAATATAAGAAACGATCAAAACTCATTGATTTGATGGGTTGAGAGCTAGCCAAAATTGTACTACACCGATTTTAAATAGTTTTTAAATCATCTAAGTTCTACCCAAAACAAATTAGCATGTACCAATAAGGGAAAAAATTACTAAAACTATGGTTTAGTAATCATAACGATACGAAAACTCCGGTGCCTATCCTAAGCCACAAATGAATTGCAAAATTGTGCTGTCGAGCCACAAACCGCCCAAAGAACCAAGAAGCCACGAAGTTAGCAGACCATCTTAGCTAGCCGATTGCACATGTTGCAGATTTTGACACTTGTTTCCTTCATTTTGGTGCAATTTCAAGATATTGAAGAAATTCAACATTAAGGGGTTGTAGTTATTATTTTTTCATCTTTTCGTCTTTGTTCATTTAAATGACATCCATCTAAATTTGTTGTTGTCAAGATTATGATGAAATCTTATGATTCTTTAATTCAATAAATTGCTTATTTTAAGTTATATTCTTGTGGTAATTTATTTTTCTTGTTGGATCATCCTATTATCAAGCTAAAATTGAAATTATTTTTGGCATTCATGATAATATCGAGATAAATCATATTTCTAACTCAAATATTAAATAACATTAAGTCCTATAGAAGATATAGATTCTTCTATACTTGGTGCAATCCTTGTTCAGATTCTAGCTTTATATTGCGTTTCTTTTTTGTTTGCATTGGTCGCAGGTGAAAATTGGTTTAATTTATCTTGAGAGTAATTAATAGTGTATTGTAGCAGCTTAGGCTCCTGAGATAAAATCTTCATGCCAAACATTTAACTTGCTTCTATTCCTGTGCTGTTACTAGAGTGAAAAGTGAACTTGTTCACATCTCTGAAGTTAAAACTTTGTTCCTTTTACCTACCTTTCATATCTTGTGTTGTACCATATGTGTGTTATAGAATATTTTCTAACTTAAAACGGAAAACTCAAAGGAATGGCACCCTGGATTTCATGAAAAATATAAAAATATTCCTCTGTATCCATGAAAAATGGAAGATCCATGACATGGAATGATAAGGAAGTCTCTGTTTAGAAATAAGCAGACGGCGAAATAACTGGGACACTCGAATATTTCAAATGTACCAGCACTTTTGCTTCTTTCTTGCAAAGTATAAATATATTTGTTAATATTGCTAGATGACAGAGTTTATAAAAAGCAAAAGAAGTACATAAAATCAATAATATTTCAAAGAAATGGAATTCAACTTATATCTTTACAATCTGAGCTAAATAGATTAAATTGCATATCAATGGCTTCATTCAAATCCCCTATGTTATAACATAAAAATAAAGTTTTAACATTTCAATATTTAACCCATTTAATTTTCTATTTTTTATTTTTATTTAATAACCAGTTTTAACTCAATTAAAATATCATAATTCATAT